GCCCTCCCGAGCCCCCCACGGGCCCACCACGCCGGCCCCGCGCAAGCCCCGAACGGCACATCAAGTCGCTAAATTCAGGCACTGATCCCGTCGCTCAGTAGGGGCCGGGGACGTGGGCTTCATGAGTCAGGGTCGTCGTGAGGGACGGGAGGAGGAGAGGGGAGGAGAGCGGGCTGCAGAGGCGCGCCGGCCTGATGCTACTGGACGCCGGATCTGTCGGACGTGACGGGAACACGAAGTCACGGGGATGAGTATACCCTACCGCTACTCCTCCCTCCCTCCCTTGCCCCTCGAAGCGCCACCACCCCTAGACCCGCTCCGGAGTGGGCCGTCCCGTGGTCTGCTTGCTCGGGGGGCGACTGAGTGACAAACCAACGTACAGTGTCACCCTTCTCCACTTGCCCCCCCCCCCTTTCCCTTCCACTCTTCCCTTCTGGGCCTTCCCTGCTGCTCCGGAACGAAATAACATCTCCATCAAAATTTCGAACCGCCTCGCTCGGGCGGCCCCTTCCTCCTCCTCCTGTCCCGGCGAGGATGGCGGATGAACGACAGCATCGCCTGCCGCAAGGTGGTGGATCCGATCCGCAATCCAAATCCCGCGATCCCCGCAATCACAACCCGGAGCCGGATCCCCCGCGGCCCGGAGGCGCATTCCGATAACAGCGGCGCGAAACATGCTGCTCGCCGCTGCTGCTCGCCAAGATTGTAAAACATCCCCCTCAGCTCCCCGCTACCCCCTTGGCCTTTTTTTTTCTATTCCTCGGACGGCGAAAGCGACGTCCTTGCAGGAGGACTTACGACGCAACTCGCAGCAAAGGATTTCCGATATTCTCGAAATTGTGCAGCTCGTCTTGACAAGAGCCATACCGAGAGTCGAGAGTTGTTTGTCATAGCATGAGGGAGAGCGGAGAGATCCACGTTGCGCTGAGCGCACCGAGCGCAGCGGTAGACGTGCACCAGACACGCCGACTGCAAAGCAGGTCCCCCTACTCATGGCATTTTGAAAGGGCACGTAAACAGGACCTCACTTCACCACAGTGGCTACGGCTGATTGACTGCTCCGTAAACTGATAAAGTGTACAACCCTTTACAACTCTCCAAAACTTTAGAATGTTCAGTTGGCCAGTATGGACAAGCTGCAGACTGGTGTGAGGCGCGACACCCTCCCGGAGGCGCTCATATTTGTAACGGGATCAAGTTATTTAATGGGGACACCGAGTGTTCTCTTCGAATCTGAAAAGTTAGCCGGTTATATCAGTATCGACGGGTTTTCTGTTCACCCTAGCATCTGATAGGTATTTCCCAGTAAAAGTAGTACCCTGCTCCGGGCCCGAAGTTCGTCCGTGTTTTGGAGAAGAAAACAAGAATAAAACTCTATCGTTCTGTCGTCTGCTGCAAAACAGGCATAAATGCTTTTTAATTTAGCAAATCAACGCAGGCACGTCCAACCCCAGGAATATGACGTTTACAATAAACCAATCTTCAAATAATCTGAAAAAGTGGAGTTTTAGTGAGCACCCTTCTGTTAAGCATGTAAAGTAGACGCCTCAGGAAAACTTGTCGGAAGGAAGCCTTCGGCGGACCTCGGGACCGAATATGGGCCTGCTACACTCCGTACAGCATATCTTCAAAGTTCAACTGCAAGTTGTGCGCTTGCAGGCAGAGTTCACTTTGGTGTTAGTGCACGCACCTTCAAGTCAAACTCATCTGTTGAACACTTCCTTCGGACGCGCTAGAGCATGGGAGCTCTTTACTTTGATGGGTTTGCACCCGCCACGTATGCATACTTAAAAGTCACCATATATTCAACAAGGTATACAAGAAGTCTATGCCAACGTTGCTTTGCACCCATAACAGTCATGGTGGGTGATTCCCAACGGCGTCGCAATTTTAAAAAGAAGGGAGGGGGGTACAGGGGTAGCTGTCACCTGTCATCTGATAGCCTTGAGATGCCGCCTTGAACGTAAGCATTTTACTGAACCACCCAACTCCCTCCGTCTCCTGTCAGCCAGACGTAAAACACCGTCCGTCGCAAGTATCCATACTCCGATAGAGCAGAGGCCAAGAAGAGCCAAGGGGATTGCAGCACGTGGTCCATACGGGACCAATGGGACCCACGGACGGGCGAACGAGGAAAGACACGATGTTTCAATCGGCGGTGCGCACACAGTGCGCAGAAATCGCCGCCGTGCAAATAAGGGAGAAAAGGGAATTAAATAAAAAAAAAGAAAACAAGACAAACGGCCAACAAATAAAGAAACCCGTCCTTCCAGTCGCTTATTTCTCTCTCTTTCTCTGCGCCCGGGGGGGGGTTGGGGGGTAGGGGGGTGGTAATAGCAGGCGCATGTTAATTGGGCCGGGCCCGGGCCCTGGAAGAGTTGACTGGACTGGTTAGGGGCCTAAGTGCGACTGCCATTTGCATATTGAGTGGGCCGCGCTGATCCCTCCACTTGGGCAAATCAATACGCCGTCGTAATGTGCAGGATCCGTGTTCCTGACGTTGCCGACTGCAGTGCAGTCACACCGACAAGGGTACGTACAGAAACTACGTGTCCTATAGGAAGGGAAAGAGGGGGCGGGGGGTGCTTGAACAAATATTGTGGCCCCCAATTATTAGGTTCACAGGATACCCGTTGGAGTTCAGGTGGACCCCATTGTATTTGTATACCCCCGGGGCAAAAAAAAAATATCATAGGTCCCTATGAAGCTAATGAGAGGCCATATTTATGCCCCAACCCCCTAGAGCGCGTTAATACCTGAACGGCCCCAAAGCACACCTCGGCTCAGCACATCTTGGCTCGGCACATTCGGCACACCTGCCTGCAAATAAAGCGCGTGAGCGCGCCGCACTCGCGATGAGGCAACACCGCGCCGTGTCGTCGTCTGGCTGTGGACAAACAGCACACGGTAAAAACAATGTTTCATTTTTTGAGGGAAACGGAAAACTTGGAGAAACTACCCTGGTTTAACGAAAACTCCTCAGAATTCGAGGAAGTCTCCTCAAAAAATGTGCAATTTTTCCTCGTTTTTTGAGAAGATTCCTCAAAATCTGAGGCGAGATCGGAGGACTTTTGTTTTCCATTTTTTCTCAAAAAATGAGACATTGCTTTTACTGTGGCAAAGAGGAAGTCCTGGCCGCACGCGAAACGGCGCTCGCCCTCCGTATGGCGGCCCAATTTGCAAAAAACGGAAAGGATCGAGTGGGAATAAGAGCGCGCCATCATAACAAACGCCACTCGGGGACAACGGGCCTGCCTGGCGGAACACGAGAGCCGCTCAGCCCCTCCTGGCCGGCCACGGGTGAGGCCAGGGGCCGCGTCCACCGCCCCCCACGCGTCCTGTTTCATCCTTATTTGACAAGTGGCGCGCGGAGCTGGTCCACTCTTCCTACTTCCTAGAACAGGGCCGAGCTAAGGTGACCC